GGTTCAGCAAAAAAAAAAATCAAAAAAAAAAATCTGTGCAAAATAGCAGAAAGTTATGATAAATACATCGCTTGTTTATCCTTCATTTCGGTATACGAGCACCGAAGAAGCCAGGTATCCTCTAGAAAATTAATCCATGTCTTGATAACTTCTGCCTCTTTCTTACAAGCTACAACAGATTTGGACAAGTCATCCTCCTGTATGCAGCAAAATAAGGACATCAGAATGATCGGCCAGAAAGCATGTTAGTTTAGCAGCTTCCATAATGTCAGAGATCTAGAAGAAGATAATGCGACCTTTGTTTTCAAGTGCGCAACTATCTGATTGTTAGCTTCATCAAATTGATCCCTCTCCTCTCTCGCATCACGGAGCCTTGCTTGAGCAGCAGCCAATGATATATTAACCTGCAAGCAAGGAAATCAAATCATTGATTTCCATACAACGGAAGACAGGTATGCACAATAACCATAGCTATACTGAATCAGTGGCATTGGCATCCCTATGTTTCATTCCAACATGTTCTAAGCTTTCACCGTACATGTTAAAGAACAGTATTCAAGTTTATTTAAAGAGTGCATATGTAACTTCAGGATACAGTCGACCAGAAACCAGGATACCACAAAAAATAAAGCAAATTACCCTCTTTAATTCCGCTTCAAGCTCATCTCTTTGTTTCTCAAGTTGCACGATTTCAACGGACAATTCCTGGAAATGGAGAACAGGAAAAGAAACTAAAAATCATAGAACATGAAAATGCCAGTGAATGGTGCTGGTTTGTAGTTTTTCTCTTTCTTGTTTTCAACAATCAAAATTCAAGATATAAATGAAACTGAATAAAGAACCTTCTCTTTTTCGCCCGCTTCAGTAGCTTTCACCACTCGTGCTTTTAATGCTTCCTCCTTCTGGAGTCTGCCAAAAGATAATAATTGTCAGGGGGTATCAATTCAAGGTCTTATTCCTGCAAATGATTTGATCATATGCTTCACAACGGCGGCGAGAGATATTGACAGGGAAGCTAGATCCTAAGGAACCAGATAATCGGTTAGTCAAAGGCTCAAACACAGGAATTTGGCACTGATTTCGGGAAATCAGTAGACAATTTTAAAAGAATTCACGTGATTTTTATGTGTCGTCTGTCCTTTCTTGTTAAAGGTATTGACCTGAAATAAGCCTCTAGCTAGCAAAGACGGGGCATCACATACTTTCGTGTAATAGGATTCCAGAAACCACCATGGCATTGGCAAGGAAAGATTGCAATTTGACCTGAGGGGGAGCTTTTTGCCTCAATCCTTTTGTTTCTCTATTAACCAAATAAAGAATCCCTTTTCCTAATTTACTATTATCTCTGTTATCGTTAATCTTTACTCTTTATCAGATTTCTTCCCCATCCCAAAAGATCTATAATATTTAGACTCCCAAAATGCTAATGTGGGAACATGGTGCCAGACATCAGACTCCATGCAACGGCACGAATTTTCAGAAACATGGATGCATTAGCTCATATATTTAGAAACTAAATGTGTATTTCATCCGTTCTTCTGGTGTGGAAAATCAATCCATCAAGTGGTATCAAAATTAACAGCTAAGGTAAGCCTGTGGGGAAAAACCAAGCTAAGAAGTGTATGTGTATCAATTATGTGAGCAATAACCTGTTCTCTGATATGCGCTTCTCGGCTTTTGAAGCAGAATTTGACAGAGATTCCAATAGGACCTTGAGCTTGTCGATCTACTCATGAAGGAGTCAATATATTATCCATTACCTTTCATTATTAAAATCCTACCAAACTGTCCAGAAGTCATGAAATTATGTTTCAACGATATAGGATATTGATAATTGCATGGGCACAAAAGGGAAGGATAAAAATATGTCGAAGAACATTACCAATCATCCTATATGTGAATGTGATTTAGGCTGAAAAAAGCCACAAACTCACCTTCTGTGCATGTATATCTGGTGAATCACCATTGCTTAATTGACTCTTTTTAATTAGAAGCCCTTCTAATCTGGAGCAGACTCGAATTTTTGCAAGTGCTCCTTTAAGCGCCTAAAAATGAAGAATCTATCAGAATAAAACCACATTCTGCAGCAGTCAATAAAGTGACCAGATAGAACCTCAACCTAAAGTCTCTTGCAGAAAGGAAAGTGGTGCTGGAAAGACTTAAATCTCACCTCTATTGTCATAGGAGCCTCTTGAAGCGCCTTGTCTTCACCCTCATGAGGCCAAGAGGCATTCAGTTGATCTAGTTTCTTCCGAAGATCAGAAGTTTCAGCATCAATTCTGAGAGCATAAAGAAAATAAGCATTGCAACAGACGAGCATACAACACAACTCAGCTACGTTGTCCATGAAAACAAAAACAGAGGAATAAGTGCATGGATGTGTTCATTTATCACCTCAGCATTTCAGCATTGATCTTCAACCCAGAGATAGCAGTTCGGGCAAACTGAAGCAATTCATCTCTTTTAACCTGAAAAGCAATAATTAAAGCAACATGAAAGACCACAAAGGTTAAAAAGAGCACTTATAAGCTCATATCACATGATTATATGTTGTTTTCCATTTGCTCAAGAGCTTACCAACACTTCATCCCTATAACTTGAAAAGACTGTAGCCAGATCCTGCATACTGCTGACTATTGCATCATGAACCTCCTTACCCCCATTCAGACAAAGCCTGGAAACAAAATTAAGGTGGAATGAAAACAACTATGACTATGTTCCGGTTCGTTTCCCCGGTAATTCCTCAAAGATATCAATGCTAAGACATATACTAGAAACATCCATGCTTCTTCATAATATCAAAAGCAATTCATCACATGCTCAACAAGAAAAATAAATAAATGTTCAGACTTCATGAAAAGATAATTTTGGCAACTGCGAACTGAATTCCCAGAATACTTACCGAAACATCTCCAGGAGTTGAGAAATTTCTTCATCACTTGGTGCTTCAAGTATCTGTAATAGAATAGCTTATCCAAAAGTTAACTGCTACCAGCCAGAAACTTCTAATAGGTATAGAAAGCTACATTAAAAGCTACACACAAACAAAATAATCATAAGGAAATCACACAGAATAAACAAAGTGAACATGCTGTCTTCTCAGGTCTTTAGCTTTCTTACAAATCCAATTTCCGTGGTCACTCAAAATTTTAGGAAATTCAGGAAGTAAGAATTCATCATCAACTGGCCAACAAAAAGATCAAATTTAGGTTGCATGAGATTACCATGGACAGAGTGATGGCCTCCAGAGCCTGGCTTTGCAGAAAAACATCACGAAAAGTGAGAGGTTCACCTACAATATCCGGATCGTAATACAAAACCTACACAGAGAAATGCATCTGCTGAAAATTTTCTGTTGGCATAAGGTACTAAACAAAGATGAGATAAGAAAACTTAGGCCATAAACTTTGAAAGAATGCCAATTCCTAAATGTAGGCAGCAGCACATCGGTTTTACAGACCTTTGAAACTAAGATTTTAAAAGGTAGAACATCATAATAACTTTTTCAAAAATTCCCTCCTCTCATTCTTTGATCAGATAAAGAAAACCGAGGGAAGCAAAAGTTTATACCAGCGACGGCCTCTTCCCTTCATCAGTGGGAGCTAGTTGTTCCGGATTTGTCTCTTTGTCCTTCACCGAACCTTCACTTGCTCTTTCAATCTCCTTTAGAACAGTTAGCCATCTGCTCAGAAGCAATGCTCTGTCATGACCTCTGCACGAGACTGCAGCTTCTTCCAATCTATGTATCGTCTGCTTCACGCTCTTGTAGGGGCTCCCACCCTGCACCATTGCAGACAGCATTAATCTCCTAAAACCGTAAGTAATGCCAACGTTTTAAATGATTCCGAGCTCAGGAACTCAGCATTCATGAACATAGACACTCTCCAATTACAGATAACATATACAAGCATCATACTTATTGCCTCGCATTTTTCACATGTATACACAACCATAGCTACAGCTACAGAAATGATTCGGAAATGGTGCAACCAAACTATGAATTCAACTCATCATAACCTAATCCCTAATCAGAAACCCAGATAAAATTAACGCGAGCTCAGCCCCGAATTCAAACGCGAATCATCAAACAAGAACTCACAATGCGGTCTTGCAGCAGCTTGGCTCCTTCGGCGACGGCTTGTCCGGCTTGTTGTACGACGGTATCGGCATAGTTCCTAACAGTTCGAGTGATGTTGTTCCTGTTCCCAACCTCCACCGCCTTATTCACCGCTGTTCGCAGCCACGACATTCTTCCCGTAGGAAAACTTTCCCGGCGACAGAAAATCGAAGAAGAAGAAGAAGATCGAATTTGGTCGGTGACGATTCCGATGTTCGAATCTGAAGGTTCAATTTGGAACAAGAAATTACTTATTCTGCTTCGACATTTGATTTTGTTTTTTCGAAGGTTAAGAGGTTTGGGGCTGTTTTGGTCAAACCCCGTGGAAGCCGCAGCTTTCCAGCTACGACGTCGTTTCATCACTTGAAATAAATAATACATATGTACGTATTGTATATTATATAAATAATATATATATATATATATTATATATATATATAGTTCGTATCTTACCAAAACAAAAGAAAAATAATTCGTCGAACTCGTAAGCGATCCAAGACTAATTTACCTAATTTTGTTGGGTTTCCGAAAGCATTTATTAGAAAAAAGCAAGATTTATTGAATCTATGATAATTTTTATTTTATTTTATGAATATGTATCTTTAGATACCTTTCCTAAAATGAAGGATTTTTTTTTTTTTTACGTTCAACATCTATTTAAAGATGCAATTTCAGTAGCCAAAATCAATTATATCACAAAGAAAATTTCTTAGAAAAAGAAAACAACAAAAAAACAAATTCACAGTTACTCCTTGGATCATGGCAAAGATATCTTCGCATTTCTTAATCATCATGATCTTTTTCTCAGGTATGATAGTGTACATATAGAATTTCTCCACCCATTATTTCATGGAGTATTCATAAAGAAATTCATCATTTGGTTTAACCGGAAACCATAGAGTAACACTCCATAATCCCCAATTGGTTTCAAACTCTTAACTTATATGGTGGAACATTTGCCTCTCATTAGTTTGGGTTTTGTTTATATTATTTAGGGTTTAGTTTTTAAAAGTAACAGCTCTTTTGTTTTTCTACTCTATCAAATTAATTAGTTAAACTACCAAAAAATAAAATTCAGTTATTTTAAAATGGAATTGATATGATTTTGATGCGAGAATAATGGATATGCTAATGCATTCTATTTTATTGTATGTATATATAAAATTTTGTTGGCAGCCATTATGGTGGTGAAGGGAGAGAATGTAGAGCAGAAGATGTGCAGGACAGATATAGCACTGGACAAGCCTTGCTCCTTTGCGGAGTGCCAACCGCTTTGCTTGCAAAAGTTGAGTGGCACTGGAACTTGCCCTAGTGTTCCCAATCCTCCCAATACTTGCATTTGTGTTCATTCCTGTGGGGAAATGGCTCCAGTGAACTCTTCCTAATCCCAAAACCCATGATGGATTCTATCAAAGTTTGATTGAATAAAAAGGGGCCTACCATTCATAAAACGTCGTAAAAATGAAATGAAATTTCTAAAGTCATCATGGTCAGGAACACCACCGACAGAGACCGTTCTTTTACTCTCTGAACTGAAACAAGACCCATCATGACCATATGCTTGCTTGTCTTCCAATTAAACATGACATCAACCATCAATCATCGTCGTCTCTTTGGTTGAGAATCATCCATCTCTCCAAAGTCTAATTAGAGAGTCGGCTTTTCACACACTGAGGTCATTGTCGAAGGAGCACGCGCACACATTCATCCTCTGGGACAGCTCCGCGCTCGTATTCGTTATAGATCTCTCCAACGAAACCTGACTGGGAACAATGACTGAATCTTGGATAACAAATGGTTCTTCACCGGGTAGATGAGATCATTAAATCCATCCCACACAAATGCCGTCCCCAATGTCGAACATTTTCTCGGGGGACCGAAACAAAAGCAGCCCCAAAGCCAAATCAAAATCCTTCATTCACATAAAAACTTGGTGGGTTTCCTTATTCAATGCATCACACTCTTTTTTTCACTCCTACAATGGGAGTAGTAAAAAAAATCAATCAGAAACGTTCAGTAATACGTACGAGTATACCATCCATTTGTTTCAAGCCAAAATTGCAAGAGATGCTTTAGTTCAAGACATCGACAAATCTTGCGAGAAATCATCAGAGAAGGCATGGAGAGATCTACCACGAAGAATGCTTAAGAGTTCTTATCATCAGTAACGAATAAATAGATAGGACCATCCGACGTACCATTTGAGTTTAATACAGTGCTACAACAGAACAAGCTGTTTGCAGTTTGTTCCGTGAGTGAACCTTTCATTCCAGTTCTAGCAACCCTACTTCTAAGTGTTTTGTTCCAAAACAATCCCACACAGGAGCTGCATTTGACCTTAGGCCGATAAATGATTGCTGCAAAGAGAATTTCCTTTCGATCAAATTCAAACCGTAGAAAGATTTAATAGTCCATTGAAATCCCTCCCTACCAAAAGTAAAAATATTTAACTTCAGGACCCTAACCCATCTCTCAGATGCCCATCTTTCTAAAACAACTGGACATTAACCAGATCTAACAATGGAAGACCATTATGGCTTTCATGCAAAATAGGTCAAGCCTAGGAATCTGAGGTCCAACCCGAAACGAGATATATTCAAATAATATGCATTTATCGATCTTGGTCAGGCATACCTCAAGCTGAATCAGAAGATTTATTCGATCTCACCCGGTAGAGTAAGCAAGAACTTTTTGTTGTTTGTCCAAGGACTCGAATCATTCCTCCCCACTTATTCGTTTGGCCCATCTTGTTCCGTTCAAGTTTGCAGAGGATTGTTGTGCTGTGCTAAGAAGCCTGAGAAAACCCCAAATACGTAGTTTGCAGAATTTTTCCTCCGGTTAATATCCTCTTTCCACATTTATTGAGGGCTTTGTCAAAGTCATCACCCTAGCAATTATGAAGAAATTTATGCAACAGAAGAAACTGATGTATACACAACTAAAACTGCAAAGGTTTGAAGCAATCTAGCAGAGATGTCCTTGGAGACCCCGCCATATTCATTGCAGAATAGCATCCGCAAATCTGGAATGGCTATTTCAAATTCACAGATATTCCATCCACCCATCAAACTTGAACTTGCTGTAACTTACATATTCCCGGGTCTTGGCAGATTTAAGCAAAAACTTATTGGCAACCTTTCTTCTTAACCTGTTCAGCGTCACCAAACTCGCCGTCTTGCCAAAGTTCTCCACCGTGCCTCGAACTTTCTTCCTTCTCAAAATTCCTTGCTCTTTCAAATGTATTCTCAGCAAAGTTCTTATTCTGTCTATCATATTCCCTTATGTTTCCCCGTTCTTCGGTTTCAGCGGCATCTTCCTGTCCAAACCTCATAGAATCAGGGTCGTTCTCAATATTAGTAGGCCCGCAATCACCTGTATTAAAGGATGGTCTAAAAGGGCGGATGCCATCATGTCTATCACCAAACCTTCTTCTCTCAGCATTTACATTAACACCAAACTCACCAAACCGATCAGAATGACTTGGACCATCAAACATATTATCACCATATTCAACTCTTTCTCGAGAATCCATGATGTTAAATTTCCCATGGTTTCTAAAAACACGATCAGGCTGATTCCTGAAAGAGATGCCCGATCTATGAAAACCACGACCTCTTACAGAGCCCATCTCCCTCAAACCATTTGATGGTCTCGCCGAATAAGATGGAGAACCATGTCTTCTAACAGCCATATCTCTCGGAAAACCAGAATGGTCGGGTGATCTCATCCTCTCCACACTGTAACTTGGAGATGATCTCCGACAAGGAAAATCTGGATTCCCAGCAAATCCGTCTGGAGATCTATTCCTAGACGATGAGCAAGGACCCGGGGACCGTGCTCTTGTCCTAGTCGGAGATCGTGAACGAAACTGAGGAAAAGCTCTTTTGTGGTTGGTAGAAAAATTTCTTTGCCCGCGAACGAAACGACCATCCAAATCTTCATATGGACGTTGAGGCCTCGCCATAAGGTCTATATCGTTGCGTGGTAAGCCCCTAGAAAATTTCTCACCATCTCTACGCCCATGAAATGCAGATGCATCATCCGAGTTTCTTGGTCCTCTGTGTGTAAATGAATTACCAGGGGACTGCCTTCTCGAAAATGAATGAGGGAAAAAAGTTCCTTGATCATTCCAAGTCCTTCTCCCTCTGCGAAAACTCCTGACAAAAGCACCATCCTCACGAGTGTTTCCATAATTATCGAACTCAAAATCTGCATTCAAAAATCAGAGTTATTGAATTCTAGAGACATGAAACTATCTACCAGAAAACTTTGAAATAAATTTACTTTCTGAGCCGCGATCCCTTGGCTTGAATTCTGTTCGATCAGAGAATCTCCATCTGCCAGGCATGAAATTCAATCTTTGGTTCCCAAAATGGTTATGGTATCTTTCCCGTGAGAATCTGTAGGAATGATCATTGAAGACTTCATCTCTACTACAAGTAGCAGATGGAAAAACAGTCACATAAACAAATACAAAATGAAATCACAAGGAAACAAAACAAAAGAAAGGGAAGAGGGGTTAAGAGGAAAAAGGGCTCAGAAATGTCACCTTCCTCGCGAGAAAAATTTCCTAGATTCAAGTGGGAGATCAGAGAATCTTTCGCTTTCCACTTGTGATGGCCCAAAGCTTCCCGAAGCATCTAATATTTTAGCTGAAGATTTATCAGAAATGCGAGCCAAGTTTATTATTCGGCTATGACTACCACCACGACTGAACTCCTTAGGAGGATCACCAGAAGAAATGTCTGCCCCGTAAGAAGCTGTGCTACTCCTATCTATTATTTCAGGGTTTTGAATGTTAACACTTGATACTGTAGACGCACCTGAAACACCTTCACTTGCATGAATGACCTGATAGGACGAGCGACCACCATCCTGAATGATTTGGCCTTCTTTTTCACCTGAGTCATCAAGTGCTTTCCCTTGAAATTCTGGAATAAGCCGCTTAATCTCGTCTTCACTGCTCGGCATATCAACTAATTCCAACAAACATGAATCATCATCAGCATATTTCTTAAGTTTAGTTTCACGTGATGTACCAGAACATGCTTTGCTACGTTCATTACCAGTTTTACCACGGCTGGCAGATTCACTCCCTCTGTTATCAATATGGCTGGAATTTTGAAAATCGCCACGAAATACAACTGCAATGTCCATGGTTTTAGTTTCAGAATCACTACACTTTGCATGTTCCATCTTACTCTTCTTAGCAGGTGGATTATCTTCTGAGACAACTGCAGCAGCTGATCCTTGGACCTTACCATCCTCATTGATTTTGTTATCTTGGTTCTTTTTTAACTTAGACAGATCATGACCACCATCAGACTCAAAATCAGAGTCGTACAACTCTTCCTCCAGCATATCACCAGACAAATTGATCTTTTCTTCGTCACTTAGAGAGTTTTCATCTGTTCTGCGTGAATTAAGAGGGAGCTCTTTCGATCTGGAGGTCTTGCAGTCACCTACAGTCTTGTCTTCAGTCAAGGAAGCAACAGTCGCAACAGACACATCGCAGTTATTATCAGCTAGACCAAAACTTGGGGAGATCATATTATTGGTTTGAGCATGCTGCAATTTCTTGTGTAATATGCCATGAGCTTCAGTGCTACTCTGAGCTGAATTTTCATGCAATGAACATTCAGAATAGTTCAAGTCACCTGGAGTTTCAGTCATTCCAGTCAAGGGCACAGGTACTTTTCTGTAGCCACTGGGAAAAGGCATTTGTTTCTCCTTCTGATTTGAAGTAGAAATAGTAGGCAAATCAAGCATATCATTACATTGCATTGTTAAGGTATCTGCTTGATTTGCTTTTCCATCTTTCCTATTGACAGCTTCAGATTGATTGCAGTAATTTGGTTCAACTTTTATTGGCGTAGGATTCACCAACTTTGAAAAACCAGATGAGGAAACAGCTCTCTGGCAGTTCCCAACTAGTTCCTGTTTCGCGTTGTCACTCGATAATTCAACAGGACAAATGTTGGTACTCTCAGTTTCATGAGTAACAACTTCATCAAGATGTTCTGACTTGACAATTCTAAGACTCACAGAATTTACATTCCCAGCTGCCATCATTGGCCAGGAAAAACTTGTACAAGCAGAACCGGTCTGGGTTGTGCTAACCAATAAAGGAGATTTCTCAATAGAAGCATACGAGCTAAGGCCTAGACTAAGTGAACATCTAGAACTATCTTGATGATCAGACAGCATAGAAGCCACAACATCAGATTTCAATCCTACATTTCGCTTTTCCTGTTCTTCAGAAACAGATTTTGTGGAAGCAGTTTCATCAAAACTACTTGATGCCTTGTCGTCATGACGAGGTGTGCTCTCACTGATTAAAAATGAAAGATTTGTTTTACCTACACTCGTGCAATCTTCATCTTCCCAAGCATCCATGGTAGTATTTAAGTCCCAATTCGATCTGTTAATACCATTGCATCTGCCAGGATCAGTAGAAACAGATATACCATCAGTCTTATGTGGAGAACAAAACTCTTTGCTTAATGTCAAGTTCAATGCAAGAGATTCATCTTTCTGACCGCGATAAATACTATTGTCAGTCTTACAACCCAGTGATAGATTAGCAGTACAAGAACCAGGAGATAGATCTGCTTGGCATCCTGCACTGACATTTTTCTTGTCACACGTCTCCTCAATCATGCTACGTGTGGTAAGAACATTTTGATATACTCCCTTCCCAATTTCTCCTGAACTGAAAACTAATCCAGAACTTTCAGACTCAATAAGCTTCCCTTCGATTGTTAACTTTTCCGAAGAAAAATATTGCATTGAACTACTGACTATGCCAGAACCAGAAGGCTTAACAAGCTGCTCTTTTCTCTCAACATCTGTGAATGAAACCAAAGAACCTGGTAAGTCCACCTTAGTTTTTACTTTACTTTGATCCACAATCCCTTGGGCAATATCTTCAGCGTCTGCTGCTGTCATCTTCTCTTTTGCAGAACCAAAGACTTCATGGGCACCTGTAACATTACCAGGTTTCTCTGTCTTCCCGACATTCCCCATCAAATCAGACTGAAACAAACGGTGTTGTCCTTCAGTACTCAAAATTGACCGATCAATGGTTTTCTGATCTGTTACAACAGCGGTAACACGAGTCCCTACCTTTTCATGGGCTAATGTCTTTTCAATATTTGGATTCACATCTAATGAACACGAAATACTCCCTGTATTACCACTACCACCACCACCACCTTGCTCATTAGGTTTACAACTGTTTTCAGACGGTGCTGAATAAGCTTCTTCGGCAGGCGGCGACAATGGCCGAACAAAGAACTTCCTTTTCTTGATTGGAATACCTGCATTCAGATCACTACACAGCCACGAAGACGGCCTCACCGGAGTCTGAAACCAACCAAATACAAAACATCAATGCATGACTATCTGAAACAAGAACTTATTAATTTCGATGAGACAAACACCTCTTGGTTCCCAGACATAGTTCGTAGCTCCAAATGCCCACTTCACTTTTACACTGTGTCGCCACTTCACCTAACCATTACAGATCATCAGTTCCTAGATTTACGGAGAAGACAAACGAAAATCAAACAGATTTGAGATCAAAAACTAAATTTCCACAAAGTAAGCAAAACCCTAATTGACACCACAAACTACAACAGGAATCAGACATAATGAACGAGAAAAACTAACGAAAGAAAAAAAAACACCTCAATTGAAAACAGTAAAACACAAACTCAGAATCCACCAGACGAACACATCTGCTTAAATTTAGAAAAAAACAAGCGAAGAAAAAAACACTAGAACGAGACCGATCCTACGAATTTCCGATCGAACAAGTGAAAAATAATACCTCAAACCACGATCGGGGGAAAAAAATCCAATAACTGGCGTCGACCAAATCGACCGGTAAAAACGAGTGATACAATCAAAGTACAAGAAAAATATATGAAATAAACATCGGAGAACTCCAAACTAAAAGAACATCTGAGAGGAAAATGGAATGATCTAGGGGGAGAGAGAGAGAATTTCTACCAGAAAATCAGAGAGAGTGATTGGGAGAAACAAAGGAATGGGAGAGTTTCCGGGAAAATACTGAAGAAGGAAGAAAATGAGAGAGATGATGATGCGAAGCTTGAGAAGAAGGGCTTCAGAGCACTTATTATAATGAGAGTGAGTCAATTGACTTTTCCACCCCTTTTTTGTTTCTCTTTCTCCTTCTATTGGAGGGTGCAACCTGGTGGCCCCCATACGCTTTATTTTCCTTTCTTTAATCGATATAAAATAAATAAAAAAATACAAATAAAACTCTAAATTCCTATTATTTTTTTATTAAAAAGAAAACCGTATATGGTTCGTTGTGTGCGTTTGGAATTTACCAAATGACATCGTGTCGTGTCGTATCTTATTTGCATTTATTGGAGCACTTTATTTATCTTTTGCCAATTTAAATTTAGATTTATGGTTTTTCTCCATATTACAACCCTAACTAGAATATGAAATATCCATCCCATATAACAAAATAAATTATTGAAGTGTCTATCATTGTATGACATATTGTATCATGATTTAAAGTAGATATTCATTGAAATAAGTTAATTTAAGTTTATTAAAATGAAATATAGAACGAAGATCAAATTCGAATCTATGATCATTGAACGTATATTTTACTAAAATTTTAAGATCTAAAAATATCTAATATAAGTAAGAGCATTAAACTAAATACAAAGGATAACAATATAAATTTTCCATATTCCCCCACAGGTTTTCTATCATTTTATATAGTTAGCCCGATAAAACATCTTTAATATTTTCTATCATTTAATCTACTGGCTAAGTATTAATCCATTGCCGAAAAAATAAGATATTCAAATCCAACAAATATTATAAACACAGTCATAGAATTAAATCATTAATTCATAAATCTGTCATTATCTGTCTTTTTATCCGTATCCATCACTCATATATATATATATTATCTATGATTTCAGTGAATATGATTTTTTTAAAACACCTGAACATAATAGACAGTAAAACAAAAATTTCTTGTAAAAAAATCAATTATTTTTTTAATAAAAATCGATTAGAATTTAACAGAAACCTAATATAAAAATCTAATAGATGTAAATATCTCAAAAGTGAACAATTCAAATTCGAAAATACCCGAAACCAGAAATTTCTAAATGTTCTAAAATATGGCAATTGTTCATAGTATCTTAAAAGAAAAAATAATGAACAAAACTTAAGATGCATACGTAGATGTTGATGGCATTGACATGTTCTTCCATGGAAAAAACACCATCATCATCATCATCATCAATACCATTAATCAAACTCTCCTTCCTATGATATTATTACAGATTGCCCATCAAAACCTTTACTGCCGCTGGTCGAAATTCTGGTTCGGTCCAAGAAAAACCAAACTAAATATAACCGAATTCGGGATATCATATGTAATAATGAACGGGTCCATATGCTTCAAGACTCAAGAGTATTCCCACATAAAATCATACTATCATTATTTAGGAAAGAACGTGAACTCTTCCTAGATTCACAAGAGACTTACTTCTTTCCAGATGTCGGAAAATTAACTGCCAACCTGATTGATAGGACGAAAGATCCAAGAACCAAACTTCCCAGAAAAAAACAGCACCATCTTCACAGATCTATCGGCTTCCGGTGCTGCAGGACAAAAATTTGGCAAAACCAGAGATTTTTCACAAGGGCCAAACAGAAAACAAGAACATAAATTAGTTTGGCTCTGTTTTTGTTTTGTCCATATGACAGAAAGTATGTTCTTGTCGTGCATTTACCTTATCGATTGGCATTTTCGTCCTGACCGAGTCAAGGAAGGAAAAATCGATATCTGCCATGACAATGCCAGTGGATACTCGGTCTGCAGCATCGGTCCAGGTTATGTATTAGTATCAAACCCATCATTTTGCGCGGGATAATGAGAGATTTCACTCTCTGTCAAAACATTTTATAAACACGGGAAAGGTTACAAAAGTTACTCTACCGGGTAATCTCGCAACTACAGATCCCCACGGATCAATTATCACCGTGTCTCCATAGCTTTCTCTTTTCTCGTTATGCTTTCCAGCTTGCGCAGCTGCTATGACCTGATATGATGAATCAAAACCGAAATAAGAGACAGTTGAGTTGGAGCGGCGACTAAAATGTTCAAAAAGGACATATATGATATGAAGATCTTCATACATAACACTGGGTTTCGATTGCTCGGGCTCGAAGAAGAACCTCCCAATGCGCCTCCCCAGTGACCTTGGTGAAAGCCGAAGGTACTAATAAAACCTGCAAAATTTGAGCTTTCTCATACTGCAGATTTTTCATTTTTTTTCTCTTCAAACTCAGTTTCTTTATCTTTGTTCAAAGCCAAAACTAGTTCTTGTTTAGGTTTTCTTTCGGTTCTTTCATCGACTGACAAATAACCAGAGCGCAGATTTACAGTGTAGGATGTCACCTGTGCTCCATGGTTGAACCTGAGCTCCTGATATATCTTCGGGAATCTCAGATCGTAACATACTGTAACGCCTAGACGTCCAACAGGGCTGTCTACGGCAACAATATCCTTCCCTGATGACAAGAGACACATGAGAACACATCGGTTACAAATCATCTGCGTGTGGAGAGAACGGTGTTCGAGTAAGATACGGTAAAATTCATGATTTAAGAGGGGTAATCTAGGCAATGCTAGCTGATAAGACGTCGATACGAAAGTAATTAGCCAATGAGACAGGCAAGATTCAGCCTACCTGGAACTGTAAAGCTGCTTTCCTTGTACGAGCTTCCCCCAGGAACATCAACATCAAACCTTCAAAACAAAAAGGAAGAAGCGGTCGCGTCTTATAGTTAGAGAGAGAATCATAAGAATCTTTCGCGAATAATTCAGATAAAAGGGCATATCCTTGAGAAAAACCCGAATGCAAAAGAGAACCATATCAAAGAAAGATCCACTCGAGAAACCGAGATCATAAACTCAGTAGTTATTACAGATGCATTTTCCGGTAAGTGCTTCTGATAACCCCGGCATCATCAATCACTACATGTGTATTACACAGACGCGTTTCATCGAATCTTTCTTGGAAGCCTCCAAGAGACAACCAAATGTTTGAGTCCCTGAAACAAACGACAAGTTAACAAGCGATAAGGAAAACGTTCTAACGAGTTCAACCGACATGAACCAAGAACTGCCGCTACCTCGCCAGAGAGCAGTAACGCTGCATCACAGGCCCATCTAACGGCTCCGCCACTCTCACACTGTCCCCTTCCTTTGCACCGACATAGGAGAAATTCTCCGGGAAGCAAATCAACGTTGCCCCGGCAGATGCAGCTTCCTTTTTGCCACACACAAGTAAATGCAAAAAACAATACAAGTTAGATCAACGAGCCGACACTATCATTTACTTGCACAAAACATTGTAAATGGTTAGAATAATGTGTTTCCTCCTTCAAAATAAGAACTTCTACCCAGAAACATGAATTTCGGTATGAACACGAAAAAAGTCACTTCACCATTGCTTAAAAAGCTAATCATTTTACGAAGCAAATCATTCTGTGTTCTTATTTCATCGCATTCTTAGATTTCAGAAACAGAGAGAAAAAACCCCCAAAGTCACATCGGATCAAAGTAAAGAGAGTTCAAGAATATGCACGGAAGATCGATTGGCCAAACAAACGAAACAATTTTCGGCATAGAATCAAATCAAAACCATAAAGAATCGAAATCCGGGCGAGAGAGAGAGACGATAGGGGGTAAAAATACTGCACTTTGACAAGACGAGAGCAGGTGGCGAAATTCGCGGCCAAATCGTTGACCGAGGTCATCTGAACGGCGGCAACTCGAGCGGTGTTCTTAGCCGCGGATGCCATGGTGACCGGAGACTGAACCGAGGCGGCGGCGCGTGAGATAACACGCGGAGATGGAGAAGCAGCAACTTTGGCGAAGAAATCGATGGAGACAAAACACGAGGAGGTCATCCCCACGTGTAGTCGTTTTTTTTTTACACAAGTAGATCACCCAATGTGTTAAAATTCCAACTGTTAAAAACATTGTAATAATATTATTTTATCTTATATTCCACCGTACAATATTTTTATTATCACTTTGTTTCTAATGTTTTAATACCATTGTAATAATCCAAATCAATTTATTATATCATGATATTTTTTTATTGTTATATCTGTCATTAAATTATATAACTAACCATAAAATTATCTTTTTTTTGTTTGGCGGCTCTTCGTTCGGACCAAAACCGAGATCGTTTTTTTTTTCCCTTCAATGAATTCCCAGTCTCAAGAGTGATTTTGGGTGTTTGTTATGTTTCTGAACGGAATTCGGATTACGGAATTATTTTGATATGTATGTGACACGTTCCAATGAAGAATATTATTGGATGATTCTATCAAATCCTGTTTGGTTTCCAGATTATGAATGTGGAGGATTCAAAAAGATTCTGGTTTAGTTGTTGGTATATTTGATGAAAGGGTTGAGAGTTATGTGAGTTATGTTTGCGAATAAGCATGTAGATATATCATGTATGTGTCCATAGATGAGTATAAGCGTGTGTATATGTATATAAATGTGTATATCTATGTATAGGTGTATTATACGAGTGTATTTATGTAAATGTCTATATAAACATATGCATATAAGCATGTATATATATTTGTATCACAAACGAGGAATGAGGGTGATTTTACCTCAGCGGCTTTAGTCGCCCCACTCACCCTCTTCATTTGTTGTTTTATTGGTGACACTGGTCAGATATCACTGCATACTTCGTAGATACATCTCTTGCGGTCTTTGGTTCATCTCATTCGCCTCTTAATTCTCTCCCCTCGTCATCTCACCGTGCCCTCTCGCTTCACCTCATGGTCGCAACTTGCCTCAACCTCTCGCACTAACCCGTCAGGCGAATATCAGTGAATACCCAAACCCTCACCGTAACTCGTAGGTGTCCGAGATATGGATTTGAGAGTCGGGACTTGGGAAGCTGTCGGACAATAATGGAACATCGGTAGCCGTATTTTACTTTTAACTAAAAAATAACGCAAATGGTTGATGACAAGCCAACTCATATTGAGGTTGTGGATTCGAAACCGGGTATGGAAACTCTCTTGAGTCGGTCAGTTTCGGTTGGTTTAACTACTCTGCGTGGTTTGCCGGCTGTTGCGTAGGGTCGGGGGTTTACTATTCGCGATACCGATTGTTCGGCCCGAACGCTGTGGGGCGATGCGGAATCCGGTCTGAAGAATCGTATGGCGGGTTCCCATCTATTATAAAAAAAATAGCGCAAGTGGTTTGGACGGTATGGCTCGGAATCTGTGTCGGAATTCTCCGAGATCTTGTGAACTCGAAATCATCTCATCCAAGAGCCGGTCTCGGCTTTGGACAAGCGCTACATGCCAGCAGAATGCAATGACTACGAGGCGAAGAAAGTGCTGTCTCTGCAACTTAAAACTCCCATAACTGTCTGATCAGATCGAATGATCGATCAATGCCAAGATTCGGAATTCCATCTCCACGCTAAACAATTCAATTGCCTATCAAATGAATTCTGAGTACAATGACGAATGATACCTTACATTGCAAATTTGCAATCCACTTCCGATTACTTACACTGTCTTCTCCACTACGCACCACTCTCATCTTCTAACTTCTTCACATAAGCTTTAAGCACCATCACGACATCTCTCGCCGGGGCCTGCAGAGTACTCACCAGACCCATCGCCGGAGACTGCAGAGCTCCGAGCATCTTCGCGTAAACCTCGGCCCTTGTCGGCATCGTCTCGAGCGCCTTGAAATCGCCCGGACCGTAGAACTTCCCCTCGAACACCGCGCCCGCGAAGTCATTCTCCTCGAGCTTTCTCTCCTTCTGGAAACTCCTGTAGGGTTTGATCGCGGAAGGAATCTCGTCGGTGTGGACGAATAGCCAAGCGTTCATGCCCTTCATACACGGCTTGAGGGCCTCCCATTTGGTGCCTTCGATGGCTTTGATGACCAAAGTGTTCTTCGCGACAAGAACCTTCGTGGATTCGGGCATAAACCTCCTGAGATCTTGGAACTGCTTTACGGTCAGACCCTTGTAGTTGATTGCTGCGAGGAGGTGGCAATTCTCGAGCTGGGTTTTGACGGACTCGACCGTTTCCTCCTTCTTGGATCGGGAAATGGCGCATTGGATGGTAGGGAGGGAGAATTTCGAGTTTCTGGGTTTTGGGTTAAGGGTTTTGTGGTGAGAGAGAGGTGAGAGAGAGGAAGAGAAGGAGAGGAGAGTGGCCGCTTCCATTGTTGAATGGTTTTGGGGAAAGAGACGATGGATAATTGAGGGGTTGGAGGAGAAGAGGATAGGAGCGCGACGAAGTTTTTTTTTTGCCCCCTATTCTTTTTTTTAGCTTTCTCATTTTTTTTCTTTTTTATTTTATGCTTTATTTAGACGGCTTTCTAGTGTTATGATTCATGAATTGTAACATTATTTATGTGTCGATCAATTATAATTTGTTTAAAATTAAACTAATAAAAACCATATGTTAAAAATAAAATGATTATTATAATTGACGTTTTATTTAGATTTTAAAGAACATGATAAGTTTTATGTTTTTTAAATAATATTTTTTGTAACGCAATAAAAGAAAAAAAACATTTGTAAAGGAAAAAGGATTAGGGTACTCACATTCATCAGCTAGAGAAACCCTAATTTAAGACATTGGGTATCGCCCCTTCCTTTCGATCGATCCTCGTACACTTGCCACTCCAATCTGATAAGATCAGTTGCTGCGTTTTGTGATTACTCTCTGCGATTAAGATGCCGCCGAAGCAGCAAGCGAAGGCCGATTTGGCGAAGAAGCAGAAGGTCGTCGAAGACAAAACTTTCGGCTTGAAGAACAAGAACAAAAGTAAGAATGTGCAGAAGTACGTTCAGAATCTCAAGCAATCTGTTCAGCCCAAAGTCGACCCGTCTAAAGTCGCCGTCAAGGTTCGGATTGTCTCCAGATTCGGTGGATCCATTTCCGCTATTTTGCTCGGTTTCCATGAAATTTTTGTGATTTTTTCTGTGAATCGGGAGATGTGTTGTCTGATTTTAGGTTTCGTGGATTGTTTAGACATGTGAAGCTTGGATATAGTTCTATCGTTTACAGCTTTTTTTGTCGTACATTTCTTCCAAACGAGAGGCTTTATGAAATTTCAGTTTGCGATTTCTCCTTTAATTCTTAAGGAAAAGTGATTTTTGCGGGCAGAAAAAGAAAGAGGAAGAGAAAGCGAGAGAAAAGGAATTGAATGAGCTGTTCAAGGTAGCGATTAGTCAGCCGAAAGTCCCCCCAGGTATGTATGTTCCATGGATGCTTTCATTTCATCTGGAAAATGTGATCTTTTTTGTTTTCTGCTCTCATTTTCGTTGCTTATCGATTTCGTGGCCTCTGGTTTTTCATTGATATGACGGTGATTTGGTGAATTTTTCACAGGTGTGGATCCAAAGTCGATCCTTTGTGAATTCTTCAAGGCAGGTCAGTGTCAGAAGGGATTCAAGTGCAAGTTCTCCCATGATTTGAACGTACAAAGGAAGGGTGAGAAAATTGACATATACAGCGATAAGCGTGATAAAGGTAAGAAGCCATGCGTGGTGGTCTGTTGTTATGTCAATCCTTTCTGAGCTGATCTTAAATGTTATTTGTTTTGTTTGGTCTTATGATGTTTTTGTTGCGTTTAAAGAGGAGACCATGGAGGAATGGGACCAAGAGACCCTCGAGAAAGTCGTGGAATCAAAGAAAAACGAGTATAACCAGAACAAACCCACAGATATCGTATGTTCTTTCTCTTCCCTTATACATATCATATTGATACCTATTTTTGGGTTGATATGTTGCCAGACGTTTCTGGAAGGCATCTGTTCAAATGTACAAATCTACCATTGGATGTGTTTCCTCTGATATATACCGTAAACATGGGAATACATTGTGTGTATGTACGCTATATGATCTCAAGCCTTCACTGTGAGATGGGTTCTCACAGATTAGACTAAATAATACATCTGCTTTACTTTTGAGAGTAGCTGATATGAGATTCTGTGGGCATCATGTGATTTATTACCTCATGTTGATGGCAGAAATCGGCTTGTGAACATCCTTTTTGCTTCTTGTTGAAGTGTTTATTTCAATTAAAGCTTTGTTAAGATTGGTTGTAATCACTTTTATGCAACTGTTTAATAGAAGACACATGTGTTAGCCTGTTATGCCTCGTTTCTTTGCTTGCTTTTGGAATCTGTGGAATTTGGGGAAGAGGTAGGTTAATTTTTTAGGTGTGTGTGTGAGGAAACTGTTTTGAGAAGTTTTTTATTCCAAGGCGTACCATGAAGATTGAGCATATAGGGGGCAACAATGAAAAACAATGGCTCACATCCTGGTGTTACGGCATCGTAGTTACTGCTTCGTCAAACTAGATCCTTCAAAATGCTTTTTGCCTTTGAATTTATGTAATGACTTCTTGTGCAAAAGGAAAATGGAAAAATGTGCTGAATGTTATCTATTACCAGTCAACAAGGTCATATAGTTCTGGGTCGCCAGGAGAAGGTTTTTGGACCTCGTTCTGTAACTTATTGGGCTGTTTGCATGGTTCAATATTCAATAACATTGTAGATCCTTACGATCTAAGCATGCCTTTCGGCAATTGTTGTTTTTATGAATAGTTTTTGAATGGGCATGCTCGATGTATGAAATTTTATGCTGATGAGATTTTGTCATTGGGTGATAATAAGCTATTGCATTATTGCTAATCATTTTTGTAATGTACCTATGCATAGGTTTGCAAGTACTTTCTGGAAGCTGTGGAAAAGAAACAGTATGGTTGGTTCTGGGCTTGCCCAAATGGCGGCAAAGATTGCCATTACAGACATGCTCTTCCTCCTGGATATGTCCTAAAATCGCAAATGAAAGCCCTCCTGGAAGAGGAATCGCAGAAGAGGCCAGTAGAAGAAGAGATTGAGAACGAGGTGAGATTTGTCTACGTTTCTGAATATGATTTACTCTCCTTTATCTTGATGGACCCTTTATTTTATGCTTATGGGAGACTTATTTCATGAGACGTTCCTACAATTGATTTTTTCTTTGTCTTTTGTTTCAGCGAGCTAAACTGACGAAGTCAACTCCAATGACTCCGGAATTATTTATGGAATGGAAAAAGAAAAAGATGGATGAAAGGGATGCTGGTTTGGCTGCTCAACAGGCAGAGAGAGCTAAGAATGATCGTATGAGGTGTCTATCTGTTATTCAGCTATATGCCCCACTGCTTGCCTCTTTTTTCTGCTGCAGTGTTTCTCGTCGCCTTGAACATATGTTGAACTCATGAGTTGGCTCTCATCCTCGACGTGTTTCAGTGGTCGGGAGCTGTTTCTTGCCAATGCAAGCTTGTTTGTGGATGATGCCGAGGCTTATGAAGATTACGAGAGAGAAAAAGAACCTGAGCAGAGTGATCAAAAGGTTACCTTCTCTCTCGCTCTCATGCACAGTGTATCCGTGTAACGGTGTGGATATTGGTCTGTGTGGGAGCGTTTTGGTTGATTGATAAGATTGATTGAATTTTTTTCTCTCAGGCGAAGAGCAAAGAAACTGAAGCAGGACCAAGCGCTTCCGCTGTCGCTGGTAATACGTCCAAGGATGTCGATGAAGACGAGGACGTCGATGATGATGATGACGACTTGGACATTGATGAGCTAAATGAACTCGAAGCAAGCTTGTCGAAAACTTCCATCCAGATTCATGAGCCGACCAATGCAGGTACATCTTGAGATGATTGTTCTGAGAAATGCTCATGTAGATCTCAGATTTGCTCTTTTCCTATTGCGGTGAAAAACAATCTGCTGTCTGAATATCATCGTTTAGAACTTGAACGTTTTTCCGACAAAACACCCTTTTTTTGTCTCGCCTGTTTCTATTCTAATGTCGTGTCATATTTATCCGTCCGTGATCTAATCTTTATCTGATCAGTATCTTTACACCAATGGTTCGGATATCTTGTGAAAAGGCCGAGGGTGAGTTTAAGGCCGAGCCGAGGGCGAGAGCCGAAGGCTGACGGTGAGAGGTTGAGAAGGGCAAGTGACGATGCCCGTGCACGAGGGGCGAGGCTCGCTTATGACGCTTAGGTTTTTTTGCTGACGGAAAATTTAGGGATTTGAAAACAAAAAAAAGTCATTAAATTTTCACATTTAGGGATTTCGATTTCCTCCTCTATTCTCTAGGCCGAGTCGAGGGGCTAGTAAAATACTAAAAAAATAATAAAATCTAAATCTAACTAAAATAAAATATTTTTTTTGGTTCGGGTTTGGTTTGGTTTCGGTAAAAAAATATATTTTTCAATCGGTTTTTTCGATTATCTTTTTATTCGGTTTGGTTTTGGTTTTGTCGAGTTTAAAAAAATCATAACCGTTCAGTTTTGATATCGGATTCGGTTTGGATACAATTATGTTTTATTCGGTTAATAATCGAAATGACTATCCCTAGTGGAAAATGTGGGATGTAAGTTTTGGGTTCTTCAATGAAATATTCAAAATTTTCTAATTGTTCTTCTGCGCGTTGGGTTTTGTCAAAAATGAAATATATTTTAAACTTTTTTGAATAGTTTGAAGAGATCATAATGCAACTAGTTGCTGAAAGAATTCAAATGTTAACCAAACTCATTAAATAAAATTATAATTATCAGTCTGACTTTTGTTCTCGTGATCTACATTTTAACTAAATATATACTTTTCACTTAAATAAACCATAATTATATTCTTGAAAATGTGTTTGATCGTCTCTAAATCGATTATACCGTAGAGACAACGTACGAATACAAGTTTAGGAAATATTATATTTGAATATATATATATATAATTTATTTTTGACCGTATGATATAACAAATATGCGAGTATTGTAAGATACGTATATATATATGTATATAGGTATACGTATCAGTGGATGTAAGGGCCGTAAGCCGTAAGGCATGTTATGACGTAAGCAGTGACGTTTTAACACCAAACAGGATAAAAACACGTGTCAAGGCAATGCAGCAACCCATTGGTCCCCACTAAACACTTACTTCTTATGTAGACGTGGCATCATATGATGCGCTTGTATGAGAAGGATAATCCACATTGTTAGATAATAATTAACAATTGGCTAAATGAGGGATATTCCTTCGGAAAAAATAAATGGCATAATTACTCTCGTCATTTTGATTATTAACCAAATAGTCGAATTGAATCGAATAAGATATAACTATAAATTCATAACTGAACTGATTTCAACATAAAAAATGAGTAGTTATAACTTTTTTAAATCTTAAAAAAACGAAATCGAAGCGGCCAAATGTATTAAAAAAAATCATCCATTTTTTTTTAAAAAAATAAGTTTTTTATAACAAGGAAAAATCGAAGCGAAGCGAATTTTATCTAAAAAATGACAGATTATAATTTTTCTATAACCCAATCAAAATTCCAAACGGTCACCCTAGACATAACAAAGATCTTATCATTTTTTTTTCAAAGAGAAAACATCAGAAACTTGTGTTTCAATTTATTTTGGAGAAAAGTCAGAACAATAAAATTAATTATATTTGTCTTAATGTTTCTTTTAAAATCTGTAATTTTTATATGGTCTATAACAATTATTTATTTTCTCCATATTCGCTTTTAAAAAATTTAACATTTATTAGAAAACAAAATATCACTCTAAAAATATTATTTATAGTTACTATTATTATCGAAAATTTTCATCAGAATCTATTTTTTATATTAAGTATTAAAATATTTAAAATAAAATTATATTGATTAAAAAGATGATATTTAAATTTTAGAATTGTTATGTAAAAAAAATATTTTTCAAAAGACTTTCAATCTACACGCTAAAACTTGTTTAGTCAAAGAGTTTATAAAATAATCATAAATGAATACAAAAACCAATGCATGATTGAACTAAAAAATTAGCAGTTAAAGTTAAATTAAGGTCGCAAATTAAGAATGAAATCGTGCATTTAAATTGTAAGATGAAAAACGTTCCATTTTATGTGGAAACCTTCATGCATGGACTTGACTTGGGCCTACACATATTTATATTTAAATTAATGTGATATAGTCTCTCTCTCTCTCTCCCTGAGTATACAATAGCTATCAAGTGGTACATCTTTATTATATAAAGACTAAATATTATCAAATTATATGTTAAATAAAATTCAATTAAAGACGGATTAAACATAGTTTTAGACAAAATTAAGATAGCCAAATATGAATAAAATATTAAATATATTTTAATGTATTTTCAACATACATTTTAATAAAAATGAATTTAAATCGAATATAGATAGAATTTAACAGTAAATATTTAATTAATATAAGTTTTTTGTTAAATAAATATTTTAATATATAATATATGATATATATATATATATATATATATATATCCAATCCAACTCCTTATATATGTGTGTGGGTGCCCATGTATAGATAGTAGGGGTGGTTACAGGTCGGATACTCGGAAAAATTGAGATATTTGGATCCGGGAGGTTTGGATATTTAGTTATAAGATTTGTATCCGGGATTTGGTATTTACGAGTATCCGGGGTAAGGGTATCCGGAATAATGATCGAGTATTTATGGGTATCCGGATCCGGATTTATTTAAGAAAAACAACAATATTCATATATAAAATTTTGAAAAAATGAAGATATATTTATAAAAATTGATGAATTATGATAAAATATATGAGACAAAGGAGATAATAAGAGATAAATAATAATAAATTTAATTTTTTGAATTAATATTAAAATATATGAAATTATTTAATCTAAAATAATTATATTTTATAAAAATATTATATAAATATAAAAATATAATTATTTATAATCATAATTTTCGGGTATCCGATTTTAAAAATTTTATTATCCGAATTTAGATTCGGATTCACGGGTATTGAAAAGTAAGATTTAGATTCGGATTTGAAAATTACGAATACCCTAAAATCGGGTATCCGTGAGACGAGTATCCGAGTGCCCAGCCCTAATAGGTAGGAGATAATTGTCCACATTAACTAATTACCGTACACTTTTATTTTCTACAAGAAATGGGGCCATGCATATAGGTAGGAGATATTACGTGTCCATATCTATTAATTACCGTACGCTTTTTTTTTTGGATACAAGGGAAATTACCGTACGCTTTTATTTTCTACAAAAGAAATAGGGAACGCTGACACGAAATTAATTTATCGATTTATCTTTTCCTTTATTACCTTTATATGTTTTACAATAAGTCTAAACTAATTTAATTTATAGTTGGCTTAATATACGCTTATGAGTTATAATTATTATTATTATCATGAGAAATAATTGAGTGATTTTTATGTAAAATGCTTGTGAAAGACATGCATGCAATCCACGTGCTTGATTGACTTGTCCATATTGACTTTTATTGAAGGATTGAAGAGTTCCGAATAATAACCAAACGAAGAAATAAAAACAGTTAGAGAGTAGACAACCCAACATCTCCATACCCGCTTTCTATTCTCTTGTAAATTTTATTTCATTTTCTCGTTAACGAAACAGCATCTCTCTCTCTCTCTCTCTCTCTCTCTCTCTCCTCAAGTACATCCCTTTGGTTTCTTTCCTGTTTGGTAAAAGTACAACCCTTTCTTGAATCTTGTCTGTCCAATAAATTATCTAGAAACTTGCCAAAAAGGGAAGGGAAAGAAGAGAGGGTGAGAAAAAGCCATGCACTTGGATCTAAGCCTCGAGATATTTTCCGGAGACGGCGAATCTCCGGCCGGTGAATATCACGGCAACGGGGAAAACCCGGCGGTGAAATCGGACAATCTTCTCAAAGATTCTGGAATCTTGTCGGAGGAAGATTCGGGGGCGTCAAGCTCGTCGGCGATCTACTCCTCCACCACAGGAGGCTTCATCAGCTTCGGGATACTGCAAAAAGACAAAACTATCCCTTCGCCGGAATCCTCTAACTTTCCGGCGATTTCCGCCGCCGGAGAAAAAGGGTTTGAGGAATCGTCAGATGGGGAAAAGTGGCTGAAATTGTACGACGGATCCAACGACGGAGACAGTAAACCGGAGGGGAAGAGGAGGAGCCCGCGAGGACCACGGTCCCGGAGCTCTCCTTATAGAGGTGTAACCTTTTACCGGAGAACCGGTCGATGGGAGTCACATATATGGTACATTGTTTCATATTATATATCATATCTTATAACATATTTTGATATATTCATCATTATTTGAATTTCACATTTTATATTGGATTAGCCCTAACGTATACTTTATCTTAAAGTTTTTGGTCTCGAGACGAATCACTTGAATTAAGTGTCTCACAAAAGTTTAAGTGCCCACAACACTCGGATTTCACCGTTCAATAAGCTTTTGGCAACTACTTTGAAATGATTATATATATATATATTAGATAATTTCGATTACATTTACATGGTTACATAATTTTTTACTAATTTGTGATTATGTTTTGGCTCATAGGGATTGCGGGAAGCAAGTCTATTTGGGTAAGAATAAGAACACATATAAGTTATAACTACATATACTGATGCATAATTTATAAATATAGTATTGTAAAAGGTGTCTGTAATTTTATTTTGTATCGATACATTAGAAACATTCAAGATCCTGCAGTCTTAGTTATAACCCTAAATATACAGAAATTTTATTGACATTAATTGTTGATATTCTTACCAAAACCACTGCTGCATTTTACTTTTCAATCTCTGTACACACTCGAGAAGACATATATATATATATATATATATATATATATATATATATATATATAGTATTTTGAATATTTGTATTTACTATTCAGAATTACACCTATAATATAATATTACACGTTTATAAATATATAAGAAGCATTCTCCCGTAATATAACTGATAACGCATTTGCTTCATTTTTTGTTCTAAAACACAGGTGGCTTTGACACCGCCCATGCAGCAGCTAGGTTAGGCTGTCTTGTTTCTAGTTTTCTGTAAAAAAAAAAACATAATTAATCAGTTCATTAATTATTATATCTTGATTATATGTTTAAATTAACATCCTAGAGCATACGATCGTGCGGCTATAATGTTCCGTGGACCTGATGCTGATATCAACTTTGGAGCTAGTGATTATGTTGAAGAAATGAAACAGGTGCATATATATATATATATATATGTGTGTGTACGTATATATTTATATTTATAATACTGTAATGGGCGTTATACTATATGAATGATTAAGTGTACTAATCCATGATTACTCATTAACTATAATGTCAACATCTAATCAGTAAATGACTGATTAATTGGTTACTAATTAGATGAAGAAGTTGACAAAGGAGGAGATTGTTCTGGTGATTCGGAGGCAAAGCAACGAAGATAGAAACCTCTACAGATTCAGAAAGCAGTGGGAGGCTAAACCGGTTCAATGGGTTGCTCGTGACAAGTATCATCGCTCTCCATATATATACATATATATATATATATGTTCCATATATAATTTGTTGTTAATTATATGAATTTTTTGCACGTTAGGGTTTGTGAAATATCGGAAATCGGATACAGTAATGGCATTCGGACGGATAGATATGGAATAAGGACATCGTTTGGTTCATCGAGCGGCGAAGGTACGTACTTGTTTCCATTTCGTAAATTCATATAAGTAAAGCTTGAATATCGGTTATTGTTTCCTCTTTGTAAAAGAGTATTCACCCACACAAACAAATATCCTCAAAGCATGGTTTGAACCAGGGCCGGGCGCAGACGGGGTACCCGGACCTTTTAGGATACCCGTCTCAATCTCATTCTTGTCGGGTTAATGTTTCGATCTCAATCTCGTGAGATCCGGGTATCATATCTCGGGTACCCACGACACAAGATCGGTCTCATCATCTCACGAATAATTACATATGAGAATTCACGAGATAGGATATCCGAAAACCCGCGGGTCTCGGGTAAAAAAGCCCACCCTAGTTTGAATCCATGGCCGTGAGATAGCAAACCCTTAGGTCACAATAGCCTTATCTTTCAATTGCCTGCTCTATCAAGTGTTCTATAATATCCGATTTTCGGTATTGTCTTTGGGCATACAATATGTAGAGCAAAACCTCGAGCTCAGCCTCGGGATTTCTCCTGATCATGCAAATAATATCGATAAACCCGAGCGAGATCTTTCCCAAAACTATACGGGGACGAACTATCAGGTAATCTACTCACCCGTCCGATCGGTCGAAATATAAAACTTTCTTGGCGATCTGTGATACGAAATGAGATTCTACATTTTTGCAGATGATGATGATGTTCAATAATAGGAATCACGAACGTGACAAAACACCAAGCGTGAGGCTATAACACGTACACGATCCCTGCTCTATCTCTTGGGCGCTTTGCTTAATTTGTTGGAGCTTTATAATGTTTCTTGAAATGTATCACATTACGAAATAATTAGACAGTCACACCATGATTTCGACCAACCATTTGATGATTTTTTTTTATATCAAGTTTTCCATGTTTCTCAAATTATATAAGATATATAAAATGACGTCGATCATAAACTTGCAAATATTTTGTGCCCTAAACTCTTCATTTTCTCTTTTCTTACAATGTGTCTAAATATTTTTCAGTTCGATTTTTCTTTTTTGCAAAATCAAGTTGATGAAAATGGCAATAATTGCATATATAATATATACTTGATATAAATGGAAACCTATACGTTTGAAATGGATGAGATGCACTAAATACTATAGGAAGTGGATATTTAATTTGGTCAGTCCACAACCGAACATTATAAATTTTTTTTTTTTTGGATGAAATGTGGGTGTCGAACATTACAATTTTGGTAAAGCTAAAAATTTTATGAGTTAAAATCATGGGAAACGTGACTATATATGTCTTTTGGATTCCCATGACCATATAAACCCCTCACATTGGTCGTAGGGCTGGGTGTTTCGGTTCGGTTCTTCGGAACCGGACTGAACCGAACCGTTAAAACGGTATTTTTCCCGACCCGAAATCGTTGTTATTTCCCGAACGGTACCATTTTTAGAGAACCGAATTTTCCCGGAACCGAACCGAACCGAACCGAACTTTAAAAATCCCGAAAAACCGAATATTTTTAAAGGAAATCTAATATTTTTTTTTAATAAAACACGGAACCGAACCGAATCGATACCGAAACTGAACCGAACTGAATACAATAAAAAACCCGATTGGTACCTATTTTTGTAAAACCGAAAAAACCGAACCGATCTATTCCGTCCCGAACCCGAACCGTTTCCCGAAACACCCACCCCTAATTGGTCGGCTCCATTATTATTTTTTAGATATCTTGGTATCTAAAAAATTATATCCAGTTACATATGGGAGTTTTTTTCTCTTTTGGATTTCACTTTTATTTTTAATATTTATTTTCTGATTTTTTTTTAAATTCTCCTTTGGGTTTTATATTTGATTTGGTTTAAATGCAAACAAATATATTTTGTTCACTCTCACGTATATTGATCTCTTTCGGTTGTTCAAAATGAATTTCTTTTAGTTTACAATCATCATTTTAAATAAATTTTTCCATCAACTTGAGTTTATATCATCGCATCACATTTTGATACATGTAATTAATTAATTTTTTTTTTTTTTGTAAAAATAATACCTTTTTTTAAAACTAATGCCTATGGTTTTTTGTCAGTTTTTCTGTCTTAATAGGCTCAAATTTTTTCAAACCCCACATAAGGCCCATAATACATCTCCCCCGTCGTCAACTTGCTTCAAAATGAACTGTCGTTTCTCTCCAATTAAACGGCACGTAGTCCATAACGAAAATATTAAAACCGCAATGCATATCTCTCTGTCAAGCGACAAACGAAAACTCTCTCTCTCTCTCCCCCGCACGCAGGGAAGGTGCTTCTTCCTCATCTTCTTCTTCTGCAAGCAAAATGTGGTAAACTGTTAACTCTGTCATGTCTCAAAATCCTAGGTCATCCCATCCGTACAATCCTCTTCTCCGTCTCGAGCTCCAACCACAAGCCGTCGGCGCTATTTCAGTTCCGTGCGCGATCGTTGTCGTCGCGGCGGAGGCTCCCGCCGCCGCTACGGTCCGGTCGCAGCCGCAACATGCCGTAGAGTGGGGTGAAACTAGTTCGCCCTTGGACTACGCTAAGCTTTTTATTCCCATTCGAGTTTATTTCTTGTCCACTGGGTCTGTATTTCTCGAGTATCAGAGAATTCATGCGAATGGACGTAAGTTCTGGGGAATTAGGTTGCAACGAGGATGATATTCCTGTTTCATGTCTATTGATTGATACGTGGAAATTGGACTTGAACCCTAGAGGTTTAGGGAATTTGATGAAAATTCACGTTGATGCCCAAAGGTGAATGTGATTGTCTGTGATCGTTTTGGGCATTTGGTGAAGATATGATTGAAGCATTTTTGGTTGTGATTGCGTTGCAGTGTTGATTTGAGAAGCTTAGTTTGAGCAGAACAAGCATAATTTCATGCCACCAACTTCACGTATGACTAACTATGTGGTTCTTCGTTTCGATATTCAGTCTGATCCCATTGTAAGTAGAATGGTTCTTTGTTCCAAGTTTGTCATTTATTCTATTTAGGGACTATCCGGTCACCGTTATTACCACCTCGGTTCTCGTTGCCTTCACCTAGTGAGGTGTACCTTATTGATTGCGTATTGGTCGTTCGAAAAGTCTTGATGTATATCTTTTATTCGATCCATTGAATTACGTACCAAAAGTTTTCTCTACAAGGAATTTGAGATCAATGCTGTTTCGGGGCAAATGTGGTTTGCATAAGTGGAAGTGTGTGTGTTTACATGGTAGATTTTCAGTATAGTTTGATCGTCTTGCTTAATGTATTGGAACACTTGGTTAATGAGTATCCTAAAGTTGTGGAGAGACATGCTTCGTGATTGCTTCCTGATATGCAAAAGGACGGTGAGAGCTCTTCAACCCATTTCTTTCTTTTCCTTGAACCGGAAAGTGAAAGCCTCTTAACCCGTTTTTAATGTCTTCTTATCCTCGGTGTTGCAAAATCACAGAATATGAAGTGAGAGAGAACCCGAATCTGAACACGTGGATGCAGGGGCAGATTGGATTACTTGATGTTGCAGTTCTTGAATAGACGGAATCAGAATTATCGGCTATGTTCTTGGCAATGTGTTGCTCTTGGTCGGCAGGTATACATGTGAAGACTAGATATGTTTTCTGTGATTCAAATGCATAGCTTAGATTTTGTTAAAGTATGGGTTTTATCAACATTCCTCATAGGTTGATGTTGATGGTGTGGTTGCAGAGTTTACTATGGATAGGAAAAAGCTCTTCCAGTTGGTAGCAAACTAAAGGGTAACGCTCCAATCTTGCCGACGTTATTCTAAAGCTTGGGCTGTTCGAGAGGTAAGACTTGGTTCTTTTTGTGGCTGAAGGAGATCCTTTTATCAGATACTCTTACTATAAGAAAGCTTGCTTATTATTTTCGCGGGAAAATCATATGCGCGGGAAACGTATATGCGCGTGAAAAAGCCAACCTTTGCTAGAAGTAACGTTGAATTGACGGATTGACCGCGTGATTTGGAATATGCTCAGATTTCAGAGTACCTTGGGGACAAAATTTGAACAAATCCAGAGGTTTGCAAGTCTTGGTTTTAATCTGAAAGTTTGTAGAGGTAATTTCCGTATTTTACGTGCTCGAAACGCTATTGTATTGTTGTTGTTATCCATTCATAATTTCCTCGCACTTACGTACATACGTAGACATCGTTATATATGCATGATCGCGTCGTAATTGTTTGATTCTATGTGAATATCTTTGCAGCGCAACAGCCGGTTTCTTCAGGAAATCCGATTTTTTCGAGTGGTTCGTCATCATTCTGATCATGCAGAGATCTTTGTAATCATCTGTTGGAAATATAGGCATAAACTTGTAGGTTTCAGTGGCAGAAAAGCAGATTTCGCCATTGTTATTAGATGCAGAAACCTTATTTCTCTCCCCTATGTAAAAGTAACTCCGAATTCAGAAACATAAGAGTTTTGCATTCATAATATGAGCCAGATAATCCCACGGTCTGTAATCTTCTAACCGAAACCTGAAAATTACAACTGCAAACTATCACAACACATTATTTATTCTGAAGAGGGGGGGTCAGACCCTAGGGTTGGACACGGTTCTGGTGTCAGGGAGAGCCGACATAAGAGGAGGAAGCGTCGGTCGGGGACCTAGGGCCCTTCCGAACGTACTTACGGGCCCAGACGTGCTTGCCGTTGATGGTGAACTTGTTCTTGCTCCGCCCGCTTAGCATCATGGGAATGTTGGAACCCGAATGCAGGACCATCCTCGCGTACAGCGGCTGCTCGTTTCCCTCCACTTCTTGCATATGAATCACATCGATCACATCCCCAAACCTCCTTCGAAAAACCCGAGAGAAACGTCCGAAAATCAGTGCTGATACATATACTCGAAACCGGTAAAAGATCAATCTAGTTTTCGATAGTTACCTGGTGAAGAAGCTGCGGACTTCGGGCTCGGATATTGGGTACCCTTTTGAGAAAGTGAGGAATATAGTTCGGTCGTCTGACGCTGCCGCAGTCGCTGCTTCCCCCGCCGATGTTAAGAACCGTGCTTGGCGTTTCAACGACAGGAGGAGGGGGAGGAGGAGGCGGCATAGTATTTGCATCAGTAGGAGCATTTGTATTGTGGCTACTGTCTTGTTGATCGTTCAAAACAAGATTCTGCATCGCGGATTCGACGCTGGATTCGCCGCCATGATCGGGGACGCGATGGATAGAACTGAACATCATCATCCGATTAATCTCCTCCTCCGCCTTCTTCCGCTCTTCGCGGCGAAGGTACGTA